TAAATAAAATCTTTAAAAATAAAAAAAAGGCATTTACTATATATACTCTTGTAAAAACATTAAGAGAAAGAAATATGGTTTAAAATTAAGTATTAGGACAAAGAATTCCTATTTTACCACCCCAGCTCGTTTTTTTTTTTAAGTACAGCGTGTGTACAGAAGAGAACATAAAACATAAAATTATTAAACCAAACATCCATGTAACCATCATCCATGTCAAGAAATAAAATATTGTGAGCCCCTCAGAAGCCCCTTTGTCCCCTTCTGCAGTCACAACTTGTCCACCCCAACTAAGCACAGTTTTGACATTTGTGATAATCATTCTGTTTATAATCTTACATCCTAAATAATATAGTTGACATGTTTTTAAACTGAAGATAAAGGAAATAACGTATTTAGTTTTAATGTTTGTGAGTAGCTGTAAGTTCATTTAATTTCTCTGTGTAATTGTTCCCCACTGTACATGGTACCAGGTTAACCATTCTACTCTTGCTGGCTCTTTGGATTGTTCTCTGTTTTAGATATTATTATAGTGTTGCTGCGAATATTCTTGTTACCCATATCCTGGTACATACATGCAAATTTCTGCAGGGTAGATTTATAGAAATTCATGTGTTGAGTTGTATATGTGCATATCTAACTTTACTAGATAATGCCATGCTGTTTTCCAAAGTGGCCATAGCAGTTTACATTACCGCTGACAGTGTGTGAGAGCTCCTGCTGCTCTCCGACCAGACAGGAAAAGGTTTGCCATTCGCCAGAGTGTGAAGCGGTATCTCATTGTATTTTTAGTTTGCATTTCCTTGTTTACTAGTGAAGTTGAGCATGTTTCATATGCATATTGGTCATCAGATTTAGAGTCTTCGCAGTTCTCTACTTGTTTTCCCCGCCAAAGAGTTGTATGTTAGTGACTTTAAAACTCCTTCATGCCCCTTACATAAGAGAATGTGCTAAGGAATAGTTTGCTGAAATCTTTAGCTTATAGAAAGTAGCTTAGATCCTTTCAACTTTTTCTTTTTTCCCCCCAACCCCATCTGGTGTTGGGGAGGTTGCCTGGAATTTTACTGATCTATCTTCTTTTTCTTTTCCCTCCTTTTTCCTGTTTCCTAGACTCTGAAGCGGCTCATGGCAGATGAGGTAAGGAAATTTTGTTCAGCATGTGCGTGTTCTAGCTCATTTCCTCCACTGTGATTCTTACCAGTTGTCATAACTTTGACTTGAAATGGTGATATTGATTCTATTATCAGAACCTCCCAAAGCTTTTTCCTAACTCTTTGCTCTGTTTGGCCCATTGCATGCGTTCCCCTGGGACATTCATTGGCTTCTAAGGGTAGGCACGTTCTTTAAACTCATAACTGACTTGCAGTCTGAATGCTACTCACATCACTTGAAGTCCCACAGTGCTTGAAGATACTTACTGTTATTTTCAAACAGGTGGAGCTAACAAGCTGCAGCTTATTGGTGGCTCTTTGGTGTGAGCATCTGTACTTGAGGTTTGGGGAATGGTTCACAAGTCTTTGGTTGGCAGAGAGGCTGCATATATACCCCTGAAGTACACTGTATTCTTTGCAAAGGGGATTTTGAAGACTGTATATATTCAACTTTTGCTGCCTCCATAACACAGAAGAAAGAAAAAGTTAATGGTTCCTGGTTTTAAGGCATTTACTTGTTTATTCTTTATGACTTACACCTACTAAATACTGTGGTCACACTCACCTCTGGAAGGGAGGGATCCTGTGACAGAAACAAATGACATTTTATTGAGCTAACTCTATACGTGAGGTGTTTTCAGTTCTGTATTGCTGGAGGGCTTAGAAGTGGCAGGAGAGCTCAAGAACAAGGTTTTCTCTTTGTACAAAGGTTTCAAATCTTAATACTTCAGTTCTCTTATCTTTGGATGAAGATGAGAGTACAGAGTCAGTATACAAAATTTAGATAAGAGATTTCTTGTTTTCATGTCAGAAGAATCTTGAAGTGCCCACAGGAACCATGCAGGTGTAAGAAGTTAGAGAGTTGGGGGCGCCTGGGTGGCTCAGTCGTTAAGCGTCTGCCTTCGGCTCAGGTCATGATCCCGGGGTCCTGGGATCGAGTCCCACATCAGGCTCCCTGCTCCGTGGGAAGCCTGCTTCTCCCTCTCCCACTTCCCCTGCTTGTGTTCCTGCTCTTGCTGTGTCTCTCTCTGTCAAATAAATAAATAAAATCTTTAAAAAAAAAAAAAAGAAGTTAGAGAGTTGGCTACTTCATGTGTGGTTTGTTGTGTAAATGAAAATGGATCACTAATACTTTTTTTCTCTTTCTTAGCTGGAGAGATTTACCAGCATGAGAATTAAGAAGGAGAAGGAAAAGCCCAATTCTGCTCATAGAAATTCTTCTGCGTCATATGGGGATGACCCCACAGCACAGTCATTGCAAAATGTTTCAGATGATCAAGTTCTAGTACTCTTTGAACAGATGCTGGTAAGTTTCCCACCCCAAAACATTGCTTTTTTTCTGAAAATGCAATTATGGGCATGGTGGGCACTTTTGGGCATGATTCCCCCTTAATTAGCCCTTAATTACAAAGAATTTCAGCTTTAACAGAGAACTTCTTAGTAGTCCTGTTAACAAAGGGACTAAATGTACAAGCACCTGTCTATAAGATAGGAATTGATGAGTTAGGCTTGGACATATCTAATCAATGCCCACCTTGTTAATGTCCTTCTGCACAGCAATATGTTAGCCACAAAGACCTAAGGCGAGTGGACCAATTCGTGTGGTAGTGTGGAGACCACCTTTGGGTTAGCCAGTGTAGATAAAGTTTTAAAGCACTCTCAATCAATTGTATATGAAAAGAGCCTGAGGCATGGAAAGGCATCATTTGCCCAAGGTCTTCTATTTAGTGGTGAATCTGGAAAGAGAATTCTGATGCTATAATTCCTAGAAGACCTTTAAAGATTGTGGCTGAAGTCAGTTGAGTAATGAAGTACACAGGGATGTGACTTAATTTTCTGTCCTCCATGAAGGACACTGAGTGAGCAGGACACTCAGCAAATGTGCAGTAGTGCTAAGTCTTGGAAAGTTTTGAGTACGTGGTTCCGAGCTTTCCTAAGACCCCTCTATTGCCTGGATAGACGATTTCAGATTCAAACAGAGGCTAGCGGCAGCCCTAACTTAATTAAAAGCATGGGCTTAAAATTCCTAACACCGAACCTGGTATACAGTAAACACTCAGCCAGGACTATTATTCTTTTTCATTATAGCTTTCAGTTTGTCTCTCAGTCCAAGTGCTGTAAGAGCCTAAGATCACCTCTTGGGCTTGGATTGCAAATGTACATGTGTTCAGGGCCAGGTAGGTGGCCGGAATAAGTTATGCCAGATAGCGGATGATGAAAAGGAGAAGGGACTGTGGTCAAATGCAGGAGGCCTTTGGGCTTTTCTGTTAGGAAGGCCAGCCACAATTCCGTGCCAGTAGCTTTTATAGCACTCCAGGTGGAAATGCCCAGCAGTGCCAGTTATTTCTGTTTTTCTAAAGAAGCCAGAAATCTTTAATTCTTGAAAAACAGTAATTGTTTAATAGTATCAACTATTACAGACAGCATTCAGATTTCACCAGTTGGGTCATTTTTTAAAAAACTCTTCATTCAAATCACAATTCCAGGTAAGGTCCCTAGTACTACTGTTCTTTGAAGTTTTATTTCATCACAGGTTTTTGTCCCTCTCTTTTATCCTTGCTATCACTATAAAAAAATTATGGAGGAAACTGTTTGACCTATGGTTACCCACAGTCTGAAATTTGATGATTGCGTCACCTGATCCTAGAAATCTGTATCTTTATATAAAGTCTTCCAGATTTAAAATATTGAGCTAGCCAAGCAAAACGTACTGTGTCTTTGGGTCTGATTCAACCTGAAGGCCCCCACTTTGCAACTTCTGTGTTCAGTTAATCTGTAAAAGGAGAAAAAAAGCACCAGGAATTGAGTCAGAAAAACATTACAGTAGTTTTACTTTGGGGGCAGTGCTTCCTTCTCTCTCTCTCTTACAGACACACACACAGAGAAGAAATGAAATGTATCCATTTCCCCTCTTCCCTTTCCGCATTTCAAATATTTCGGACTTGCTGGGTTAAACTTGTGCTCACCGAGGCAGTGGGCTCAGACACATGGCTATACATGTAATAGGCTCAAGTGGAGCCTTTTCCTCAATACCACACCCAAGTTACATCTGTGGAGGGGCTTTATCACAGGGTTTCTAGTTCTTTCTTCATGGGAAAGGAGTTTGTACAAGGACTGAGTTAACCAGTGATAATGGGTGTTTACACCCTAGAGTGGTGCAGATCTTGTGGGTTTGGATGATACCAGTCATCCAGAAGAGATTTTTAAGATCATCCCAAGTACAAAAAACATTATGTGTGCTTTTGTTTCAATAATAAAAAATAAATCTTTCATCTAGCTTGAGTCCATTTTTGTTAGGAAAAACATTGTGTATAAAAGTGTCTGTAGGGGGCGCCTGGGTGGCTCAGTCGTTAAGTGTCTGCCTTCGGCTCAGGTCATGATCCCAAGGTCCTGGAATTGAGCCCCACATTGGGCTCCCTGCTCCTCGGGAAGCCTGCTTCTCCCTCTCCCACTCCCTCTGCTGTGTTCCCTCTCTCGCTGTGTCTCTCTCTGTCAAATAGATAAATAAAATCTTAAAAAAAAAAAGTGTCTGTAGGAATTTATGCTAAAATGTTAACCATTAACATCCCTGAGGAATTTTCATAATCTGTTGTAATAGCTTAAATCTCAAGGGATCAGGAAAACTTACTGATTCAGTGAGCATTTAATGTGTTTAACTCTTGACTATACTAAATATTAAACTCTGAAAACTTGTAAGAAACTTGATGCAGTTTTGTTTTTATGCTCTTTTTTTTTCTCCCCCTACTAGCTGGATATGAACCTGAACGAAGAGAAACAGCAACCTTTGAGGGAGAAGGACATTATCATCAAGAGGGAGATGGTGTCCCAATACTTACACACCTCTAAGGCTGTGAGTCCTGGGGCAGGTATCCATGCATGGGGGACTCTGCCCTTATCTTGGACCTGTTTGTTTTACCAGTTTTATAGAACATTTTATGTCTACATCAGTCTTATTTTATTTTGTCATATAAGCCTACTCCTGTTTTACTCTCATTCCAATTGCTGTTATTAACATACTTTTTGCCTGATTCAGTCTTCATGAGGTGTGTGTGGAGAATGGGATGGGAAATTCTGAGTCCCACAGAGTTGGGTGCTATGTATGATATGTGTCTGCCTTGATATTCAGAAGGTAATGACTAATGCTAGTCCACTTTATGTCTGGGTCCAATGTTGACTAATCTTTCCATATGCTCCCATCTAGGGCATGAGCCAGAAGGAGAGCTCTAGGTCTGCCATGATGTACATTCAAGAGTTGAGGTCAGGCCTGCGGGATATGCCTCTGCTTACCTGCCTGGAGTCCCTTCGTGTCTCCCTCAACAACAACCCTGTCAGGTGAGGATTCTGAGGTGGTAACAACAGTGAGAGCCCAAGGTTAGGTTTTGCTGGTGGATATTGAAGATCAGAGGAGCCAGGATGTATGAGAGTTCTGGATTGGGAGGAAAGAGTTGCCAGGGTAGAATTTGTTTGGGTGAATAAATACTGATTTGATTTGATTTGATATTGCATTGTCTCTGTCGATTCCTTACAGCTGGGTGCAAACATTTGGTGCTGAGGGCCTGGCCTCTTTATTGGACATCCTTAAACGACTCCATGATGAGAAAGAGGAGACTCCTGGGTGAGGACTTCCAACTTGACATCTTCCCGGTGACTTGGCTGTTTGCTCTATAGGAGAAAATGGCGTTAAAATGAGAAATTGTGGACCAGGAGAATATGCTGTTACTTGAGAACAGGGTTTGTCTTCGGGCAAACTAGAGGATGGGTGATGATTACAATACAACAAAGGGAAGAGGAACACAGTGGATAACACAGGCTGTGGACCACATAAGATTGTGGGTCTCCCAGCATAGGTTCTTACCCAGTCTGGAAGTGGGGTTAGCATTCATCCAGAGCTCCCCTGGGACCTGTTCTGGGTTATATCCCATTCAGAAGTCTTATAATACCCTTGATGAATTTGGGACTAACTTCCTGACAGTCTTCAGGGTTGGAATATTTCTCGGGCTATCTTGGACTCTTAGGCTACCTTGAAGTCAGCCTGACCCATAGTGACTTCTCTACTTATTGGGATCTTTCCAAAACAAAGCATAGGGCCTATACCTCCTGAATGGACAGGCTTGAAACCTTTGACGTAGTGAGGCAAGCAGAAATAGATGGGATATTATCCTGATCAAATTTAGCACTTAGAAACCTAGAGACGGGCGCCTGGGTGGCTCAGTCATTAAGCGGCTGCCTTCGGCTCAGGTCATGATCCCAGGGTCCTGGGATCGAGCCCCGCATCAGGCTCCTTGTTCCGCGGGAAGCCTGCTTCTCCCTCTCCCACTCCCCCTGCTTGTGGTGTCTCTCTCTGTCAAAGAAATAAATAAATCTTTAAAAACAAAGAAACCTAGAGGGAGTTGAACAGAAGATTTTAATGTAGTACTAAATTCTTGGATTGCAAGAAGATTAACCAGAGGTCTGATGGTGGTGATCCCTCTCAACTACCTATTTTTGCCAGTGTTTCAGGGCAAATTGCTGTGTGCTAGAATTCACTCAGCTACTAGTTGGGGATGTTCCGAAGACCTGTGTTTACAAGATTGAAAAGTCAAATGGGAGAGGGGTATACAATGAAGGGAATTCATGGAATATGTCTTCTACCACACAGGAGCTACGATAGCCGTAACAAGCATGAAATCATCCGTTGCTTGAAAGCATTTATGAACAACAAGGTGAGATTTTTCCCATTCTCATTCCAACCCTCATCATGACCCCTGTTCTTTCTTTTCTGTTGGCAAACTCCAAAAAGGACCTAGGGATATGAAGTTCAGGGCTTGTAGCTTTCCCTTTTAATATTAGAACTTTTTGATTGCCACATATGTATGTTTCTGTGGACCTTTTTTTCCAGTTCTGATGTCTGTTTCAGAAGGTAGGCTCACTTTCCTTCCTCATTTTATACTTTGTTTTGCTAATTTTTGAATTTCCTGATCTGTATTTATTGTTCGGGGAAGATTTATTTTCTGCATGTTCCTACTGTAGAATCAATGTACCTACCTTCTCTCCTTCCCTCCTTCCTTCCATTTAAACTCGGGGATCTCACAGTTGTTTGCTCCAGAGTGCAGATCTATCTTCCTCATTGTTACAATTTACTCACACCATTGGATGCGAGGGGCATTTAAAAGAAATATAAGAATCAAAGATTTTTATTCTTGAAGACCTAGAATTGTGTTGTATCTAATATAAAATTGTGTTGTATTTATATTCAGCTCTATTTAGCTATGCTGGGAAGAGGTCTACCCCTGTATTAGTTTATTATGGCTACTATAACAAAGTCCTACAAACTGTGTATTAAACAACAGAAATTTATTGTCTCATAGTTCTTGGAGGCCCTAAATCCAAGATTAAGGTGTTGGTAGTATTGGGGCCTTCCGAGGGCTGTGAAGGAAAGTGTGTTCCATGCCTCTCTCCTGGCTTCTGGTAGCTTGCTGTCAGTCTTTGGCATTCTGTGGCTTTTAGATGCCTCACCCCAGTGTCTGCCTTTGTGTTCACAAGGTGGTGTTCTTGTGTGCATGTCTGTGTCGACATGTTTCCTTGTTATAGGGACAACAGTCATATTGGATTAAGGGTCCACCCTACTCTAGTATGACCTTGTTGTAACTTAACTAATCACATCTGCCAATGACCCTATTTCCAAATAAGGTCATATTCCAAGGTATTGGGGCTTAGGACTTCAACATAAGAATTTGGGGGGCGGGACACCATTCAACCCATAACTACCCCACCTTTGTCCTTGGTTAGATGCTGTCATCGTTAAGCCTCCCTTCTCTGTTCTTACCCTACCAGTTTGGAATCAAGACCATGCTGGACACAGAAGAAGGTATCCTGCTGCTGGTCAGAGCCATGGATCCGGCTGTTCCCAGCATGATGATTGATGCAGCTAAGCTGCTTTCTGCTCTTTGTATCTTACCACAGCCAGAGGACATGTATGTGACTGGGTTATAGCTCTTCTCCATTCTCTTTTTGACCACCTTCCCTAGTCTAGAGGAAAATTGAGTTGCTTGGGTGTCCACTTTGTCCTAAATACTAGGTAAGACCAAGGCGTGAACACTGAATCGTAATGTTTAAGAAGGACTGTGAGGTATTTGGCGCTGTCCTCAGCATACTGGCGGTTATCAGAGGAGTAATCTGCAGGGTGTCTCCTAGAGCTCCGTTAATGTCTGTATCGCCTAGGACAAGGGTTGCTTTTACTTTGTTTTTTTTAATTCAGAAGTAACACAACTTTATTTTTTTAATTCAAACAATATAGAAACATATAAAGGAAAATTTAAGTAAATTAAGTAAATCCTTTTCTGCAAAGGCAACCAGTGTTAATGGCTTGGGTACAATCTTACAGATTTTTTTTTTCTAGCAGAGACAAATTGTATTTCCTGGATTCTAAGATACTTTCTGTCACTCCAAAAGGTGGAATGTTAGAACTAAGGAAAGATGGCTTATGTGCATAAAACAAATCACATGCATAGGATAGATTTTTATTGCTGTGGAGCAGTTTGATTTAATAAAAACTAAATCATTACCATTCATTTCTTTTCACCTTTTTTTTTTTTTTTTTTTAATTTAACAGTTATCTTGAACATCTTTCTAGGTCGGTACTTATAAAGATCTACCTTATCTTTAGTGGCTATTTAACATTCCATAGTATGTATGTCCCATAACTTATTTAACAATTTCCCCATTGCTAGACTTTTTAGGTGGACATTTTTTTTTCCTTAGCAGATTCTGGCCCCTGCTCTAGGTGATAAGAAGTTTTACTATTACAAATGATGCCATAATGAACGTTTTTGTACATATATTCTTTCACGTTTATGCATTTATGTTGGATACGTTTCTAGAAGTAAGCCAAATGTTATGTGCATTTAAAACTGATACTGTTATCTACCCCTCCAAAAGTTATATCAGTTTATACTCCATAGAACAGGTGTTCTAATTTGGTATCCATAGATAGGAGTCTAGGAATGGGTTTTAGGGAACACATTTTTCTGACGAGATTGTCCTTAGCTTTCACCAGATTCTGACCCCAGCCCTAGGTGATGAGAATAAAGTTGGAAGTTTGGACAGTTGATAATGTTCTGTGTTCTAACTGATCTGTGCCCCTGTATAATCTACCTATTGTGCCTGTCTGTGCCAGGGCACCTGGACATTTCTCTCCCTTTCCTTTCTCCTGGGTAGGAATGAAAGGGTTTTGACAGCGATGACAGAAAGAGCTGAGATGGATGAGGTGGAACGCTTCCAGCCATTGTTGGATGGATTAAAAAGTGGGACCACCATTGCACTCAAGGCAAGTGTATCCTCCGAAACTGTGTCCAAGAATAGAGTTCAAGATGGAAGGAGTTAGGCTCATTTGACCATGTAATAGAACACATGGAATGGTTCCCAGCTACAGGCATACCGAGATACTGCAGGTTTGCTTCCAGAACACTACAGTATAACCAATATCTCAGTAAAGCGAGTTAAATGAATTTTTTGTTTTCCTAGTTTCATGCATGTAAAAGTTACGTTTACTCTATACCATGGTCTGTTAAGTGTGCAGTAGTATTATGTCTACAACAACAGTGTACCTACCTTAATTAAATACTTTATTGCTTAAAAATGCTATCATATGAGCTTTCAGCGAGTCTAATCTCTGATCACAGATCACCACAACAAATAAAATAATAATGAAAAAGTTGGATATACTCTGAGGATTACCAAAATACGACACAGACAAGTGAGCAAGTGCTATTGGAAAATTAGCACTGATAAACTTGCTTGACACAGGGTTGCCACAGACCTTCAGTTTGTAAAAAAAAAAAGAATGCACTATATAGAGCAGTGTGATAAAGTGAAGTCCAATGAAATGAGTTGTGTCTGTATATGTTTTATATTTCAGGATTTGTTCTGAAGGGAAAATGATTATCCTTCTCTCCAAGAAGGCAGAGAAAGAGCAGCTTTCCTTATTATGAGATGGGGAAAAGGCATGCTATCTATTTATACGCTAGGGAAGCCAAGGCTGAGAACAAAGTCTCCCATCAAATCCTTGGAATCATTTAGACCTCTGAGTTCTCCAGACCTGGGCTCAAATCAGGTCTTATTGCTCTACTAGAAAGTTGTTCTTGTAGTTTTGTACTGCATCTTCTACATTACATTTGGGTCCCTCAGCATGCATGTAAAGAGAATGGAATCTTGATCTCTAGGAGTCTACAATGACATGCTGCCGAATTTTCTTACTTTAGGTGGGCTGCCTACAGCTGATCAATGCTCTCATCACACAAGCTGAAGAACTTGACTTTCGAGTGCACATCCGAAGTGAACTGATGCGCTTGGGGCTACATCAAGTGTTGCAGGTGAGATGCAGCTCTCATTAGGACGGCCACGCCACGTGCTGCGGGCTTTGACAGCCCCATCATTAAGAACCAGGTTGAAAGGCTTGGGTTTCTAGCCAGCATAGGACACTTCTGGGTTCCCTAACTTGTACTTTTGTCATTGACAGGACCTTCGAGAGATTGAAAATGATGATATGAGAGTGCAACTAAGTGTGTTTGATGAGCAAGGAGAAGAAGATTCCTATGACCTAAAGGGACGGCTGGATGACATTCGAATGGAGATGGAATATCCTTTTATGAACTGGGTTCAAGACACGTTGAGACATTCAGTGTAGATCCCTGTACGGAATGGTGTGGGGTGATGACTCAGAACAGGGCATCAGCCTGTGTGTCTTCTCAGTAGATGAGGCAGGTATCTTTTGATTGCTGTGGGCTTTATTTACCTCAGCATGGACCAGAGATCTGAGGGTTCCTATCAAAATGAGTATGGACCTCCTAGAACATGAAATCTTAGCTTACTAAGGTATAGAGCTGGTGTTTGGAGAATATGCATAAGTCAGGGGTGGGCTTGTAATTTACTTTCTTCTCTGTGTCCCTGAGACTGACAGAGGGAGTAGTTTGGCTCCATACTGCTATTTGACACAAGTGACTTGTGTGCAGTTACCTTTTCACTTCTGTCTACTGCTTCATCTCCAAGCCAAGGACTGAGAATCCTTTATCTCTGTGTATAATACCACCCAACCCACTGGTCCCTTGGCCTAAGGCAGCTTATGGAGCTTAAAGTTTGGGGTAATGTTTACAGGAGAGGCAGCTGTTAGAATAGAAGTGGCATCTTGTGACTTTTGCCAAGAGTAGGACCATCCACCTGTCAAACATGGTTTCTAAATATATGCTTTCCTTAGCCTCTTCCCCTTTTTTACTGACTTCAGTGATGTCTTCCAGATTCTCTTAAACACAGTGAAGGATTCAAAGGCAGAGCCACACTTCCTATCCATCCTGCAGCACCTACTCTTGGTCCGAAATGACTATGAGGCCAGGTAATGGTATACCTGTGAAAGGTATTGAATTTGAGCCTAAGTAGAGAGAGCAAAATCCTTAAATTCAAAGACCGTCCGTAAAGGAAAAAAGAAGAGACAAAGACAAGGATTACAGTTCATTTTTAGTCACAGATACAAAAGGAGTTGTCAGTTGTCCTTTTAATCTGACTAAAAGGCATCCTTATGGAGGAGGTCAGAGTGTATAAGGTAAAATGTCCTTCTTTTTTTGGAGAGGGGAAGTAAGGTGGGGTTAAGATGATAGTAAAGGGAGGTACCTATTTAAGGTTCTTCCAGGTTGCCTAGAAGTAGAGATTCAGCAGTAGTGCTATCTATCACAGAAAGGATCAAGCCTGAGTTTTAGACGGGAAATGATCGGCACCAGGAGGTAGATGGCAACAAGTTTTGATTATCTGAAGAAGATGGGGTAGGTCTCGTAGAATAGCGAGTTTCCTAGCATGGCAGCGTTCTTCTGTTAGTTTTATGAAAAGGTCTTTTTAGGAACACATCTCCTCAGGTCTCTCTGTTATCAAAGCAATTAACTTTCCTGATCCTGAATGCTTCTGAAAATTATATTTTGGTTTTCCTCTGATAACCTTCTTCTCTTTCTTCCATAGACCGCAGTACTATAAGTTGATTGAAGAATGTATTTCTCAGATAGTTTTGCACAAGAATGGGGCTGATCCTGACTTCAAGTGCCGGCACCTCCAGATTGATATTGAGGGGTTGATTGGTAAGTATATTCTATCTAGCTCCTTAAAACATTGCTCTGCCTTTCATTTTTTATCTTTCTTCCAGTGAAATTTTCAGAGAAGGTATCTTTCTAGTCCGCAGGTATTTCCATTTTTGTCTTTAGGTGATAACTAGCTTCTGTGCTAGGAATATACAGACCTTTAGTTTATTGTTACATAAATCTAAAAATTTACCCCTACTCAAACATCACCCCACCTTTTGAAGGGACTTTACCTATTATCTGTGATTCCTGCTGGTCTCAGACATTCTTAAGTACCACTTGTAGGCACTCTCCAGGCCATCCAGCATGGTGGCCTTACTATAGAACAGGCACTCAGAAATTGCATGTTGAACTTAACTGAAAGATTCATTTCTTTGTCTAGAGCAGAAAATTAAGAAGGTTAATAAAAATAAGCAAATGGACAAAAGACTGCCCTTTGGTTATATTGAAGGGTGTAGGTAGTGGGAAAGACAAGAGAATTGGGAGCTTCACTTACTGACTTTCTTTTCAGATCAAATGATTGATAAAACAAAGGTGGAGAAATCTGAAGCTAAAGCTACAGAACTGGAAAAAAAGGTGTGTGTAAGAGATAAAAAAATGGAAGGCCTTTCTTTCTTTCTTTTTCTTTTTAAGGATTATGATTTTTTTTCTGACATGTGAAACTGTTACCTGTGATATTTTCCAAGCATTCAGCACCCAGTAGCAGTTCCTAGGGGAAACCTTTCTGGTATAGGTTTGTCACTGGAGAAACTAATATGGATGTGATCCTGAGGAGTTAATGGTATGCAGTTCTTGAGCCCCTGGGTAGGGACAGGAACGAAAGATGACTCTCGTGTCTAACAGTGACAGCTCTTGCGGTTTGGCTGGTATCTCAGGCCTCTTACCCCTAGAACAACAGGGACTGGAATATGTCTGAATTCTTTTTTTCTCTTCAGTTGTTAGGACTTCTGTTGTGATTGATAGGGTTTTGCTCCTAGAGGCTGCTGGGATTGTACACCATAGCTGCTCTGGTGTAAATGTCTTAACAATGTGAAATTTCTTTAAAAATTTTAGATTTGTTGTCGTTTTGCCTTTTTTTTTTTACAGAGAGAGTGCAAGTGCGGGGTTGGGGGTGGAGGGGAGCAGCAGAGGGAGAGGAAGAGAATCTTAAGCATACTCTGTGCTGAGCACAGAGCCTGATGTAGGGCTCTATCTCACAATCCTGAGATCATGACCTGAGCTGCAATCAAGAGTCAGATGCTTGACCGACTGAGCCACCCAGGCACCCTGTTTGTTATTTGTTTTTTAATCCAAATACAGTTGACATGCAATGTTAGATTAGTTTTAGGGGCACAACATAGTGATTCAACAACTCTATACATTATGCTGTGCTTTCCACAAGTGTAGCTACTGTTTGTCACCATACAACAGTATTACAGTACTGTTCACTATATTCCCTGTGCTGTACCTTACTCCCCGTGACTTACTCCATAACTGAAAGCCTGTACCTTCCACTCCCCGCTTACCCATTTTGCCCATCTCCCACCCCCTTTCCCTCTGGCAAACACCTCTGTGTTCTCTGTATTTATCAGTTCATTTCTGCTTTTTTTGTTTTTTCATTTGTTTTGTTTTTTAAAATTCCACGTATAAGTGAAATCATACAGTATTTGTCTTAGGTTGTTTTGTTTTTAGAACTCCCCAAATTAGGTAGACTGGAAATGATCCCTGGTTCCCTCTAGTTTAACTTTGATTTTGAGTTCAAAATTATGGTGGTCTTTTTTCCCAGGCATTTCCTAGGAAAGTGAGCTCTGTAAAGGCTTGGGACAGAACAGTGAATTTGGGGGGATAACACTCTGCTTCTTCCTGGAGAGCTTACTAGGAGCCTAATTCCTTTTTCCTTTAGTTGGACTCAGAGTTAACAGCCCGACATGAGCTACAGGTAGAAATGAAAAAGATGGAGAGCGACTTTGAGCAGAAGCTCCAGGATCTTCAGGGAGAAAAGGATGCCTTGAATTCTGAAAAGCAGCAGATTGCCACAGAGAAACAGGACTTGGAAGCAGAGGTGTCTCAGCTCACAGGAGAGGTAATGTTTGAGCAGGGAAGGTAGAGTGACCTCTAAGCCATCAGCAGCTCATGATGGGCCTGTCTTGCAGCAGGAGCCAGTCATCTTACTCCTAGGGAAGGCTTAGCTACCAATAGGTGATCTAGTTAAATGATGCATATTTTAAAAATCATTTACTGTTTTTTGTTTCATTTTGAGGTAACACACAAGATAGAAAATTTGGAAAATACGAACAATATAGAGAGTAAAAGGAGTCACAGTACTACCCAGAAATAAAACTAAGTCATCTCATAAATTCAGGAATAAAATCCAAAAAAACTCTTCATATATTTGCTGATTTTCTCTTACTTTACTGGACAGATTAATGCCCACACTCTCTTTGCAGTTACAGTTATTTAAATGATCTGTGATATCTGATAACTTGATTACTTATGTGCTTATCTCACTAGAATATTTGATTTACTTGAACTTTGCATTTTTTAATTAAAGGGAGAATTTAACATAAAGGTTGAATTTGCTTTTTTAATGCAAAGCGTGCTGAACTAAGAACATGAAGACCTGAATTCTAGTCTTGGCTCTGCCACTAAATATCAGTGTGACTTTAGGTGAATCATTTCATCAGTCTGACTCCTTTCAGTGTCTTCATGTGTAAAAAGAAAACTCTGGATTAAGTAATTTTTTAGGTCCTTTCCAACCCCAGTGGTCCCTGAAGCGGAGTGAAGAGTACTTCCATTGATGTTGTTCCTCTAGGTTGCCAAGCTGTCCAAGGAACTGGAAGATGCCAAGAAAGAAATGACTTCTCTCTCTGCTGCAGTTACTGCTGTAGCCCCTCCTAGCAGTGCTACTGTTCCCCCTCCTCCTGACACTGTTACTCCACCCCCAGCCCCTCCTTTACCAGGAGAGCTTAGCATACCCACCCCACCTCCTCTTCTTGGAGGTGATACCATTCCTCCTCCACCACCACCCCCTCCTTTGCCTGGGAGTGTTGGCATCCCTGTACCACCCCCTTTGCCTGGGGGTGCTGGTATCCCCCCACCTCCTCCTTTGCCTGGGGGTGCTGGTATCCCCCCACCCCCTCCTTTGCCTGGGAGTACTGGCATCTCCTTACCACCCCCTTTGCCTGGGGGTGCTGGCATCCCCCCACCCCCTCCTTTGCCTGGGGGTGCTGGCATCCCCCCACCCCCTCCTTTGCCTGGGGGTACTGGTATCCCCCCACCCCCTCCTTTGCCTGGGGGTACTGGCATGCCCCCACCCCCTCCTCCCTTGCCTGGAGGAGCAGGAATGCCACCTCCCCCTCCTCTTCCTGGTGGTCCTGGAATCCCTCCACCCCCTCCATTTCCTGGCGGTCCTGGAATTCCTCCACCTCCACCCGGAATGGGTATGCCTCCACCTCCCCCTTTTGGATTTGGAGTTCCTGCAGCCCCAGTTCTGCCATTTGGATTAACCCCAAAGAAGCTTTATAAGCCAGAGGTGCAACTCCGGAGGCCAAACTGGTCCAAGGTGAGAATTTCTGTGCATTTTTTCCTCAATAGATATCTTAAGCCAGTTTAGTTTCCTACTTTGTATTTTGTGCCCTGGTGGGCTTCTGTTTTTTATGGCTAGCATCTGTCTGTCTTCAGGTTGCACTCACACTTATGTTTACTCAGCACAAATTAGGCATCTTCTGTGTACCAGACATCACTTTGGAGAATTCTTGGAGCCCTCTACTCTGCTACAAAACCTAAACATATCCTTAAGTTAATGTTTTTGGCCTTTTCTCTGAGGGTATGAGTGCCACGGTAACCCACAGTTTGATAATAGTCATTTCACCAGTCTGCAAGCTGTTGATAATAGTGCTGATCTGAAAGTTGTGGATTTATGGATACACCCTCCTACCTCTTCCCCATAAATGAGCTACGAGGACATGTGTGCATAGCACAGTATTGTTTCCACTCTGTTCAATGCCCCTGTGATTCTGCTTTGGCCTTCTGCTTCCAGAAACCAAGTTAAAGGAGCTTAAGGATTTACTTATAAAATGAACAAGTATGTCAGTTAGCCAAATTGATGGGGAGAATATAATGTAGAACAAGGGAAGATGTGAAATACAACCTCAGCACTTCTAAAATTAGAGGATGTGAGGTTAGGAGGAGGATAAGTAGCATAAGTGAACCTAGTTCTTGAATGAACTGGGAGCACTATGTCCGGATCCTTCCATGCAGAGCATAGCTCTTGTGTGTCTCCGGTTAGTCTTACTCTAGTAAGTCATTGCTCAGAATCACCACCCACCTCTTCTGCATCTTAGTCAGTTTTCTAGGATGGAAAGTACAGGGCTCCGGTTAGTAACTCTTAACACCCTGCCCGTATCCACAGTTTGTTGCTGAGGACCTGTCCAAGGACTGCTTCTGGACAAAGGTGAAGGAGGACCGCTTTGAGAACAACGAACTTTTCGCCAAACTTACTCTGACCTTTTCTGCCCAGACCAAGAGTGAGTACCTTCCTCTTTCATGCACAGGTCCAGTATAGGACTTAAGAGTATCCTTTAAGTGAGTCTCCCATTCCTTTCCCTTCCCTGAGTGAGGGTTGAAGAGAGGTGGTTTTTCCCATTCGGAAGAAATTAAGATATTTTTGTATTCTGGGGACGCTGGGGTTGGGAAAGAAAACTGTTGCATTTTGGTATTTTTTTCCCCAATTTTTTGGCATGTAGGTATTTTTTATCAGTATAACATGTTGGGGATATGAGATTAAGGTGACATGAAGCTCATTATGGGCCCATTTTGATAATACTCTTGAACGGATTCTGGCACTGTCTTTAAGGTGCCATCCCAGACCTACAAACTTAATAAGGGTTGGGCCAGTCTTTCACAGGTTAGGTGGTTGAATGACTGTCTACAATAACAACCATGTGTGATTCTTTTTCTTTTCTTCCATTTCTTTTCAATATCTGATGCTTTTCTCTTCCTGGCCCTTTGCTCCTCCAGCTTCAAAAGGTAAGAATACAGAAGAGCCTTTTAATTGGGTATCTTGAACATTGGAGAAAAGATGTAACAGATGTAAAGGAATTTCTCTTTAGAAAACTGAGATGAGATTGGGGATTGATTTATCTTCTCTCTCTTTTTTTTTAAGAGTCTAGAAGGACCAGTAGCTGTGATGTTTAATTGACAGCATAGATAGTTGTTTTAAGTTTAAGTCGAAGCTGCCATATAGTTCTTTCTTTGGAAGGCGAGGGACACCTTAAGTATTTTAATACCATGACCTTATTTATTTATTTTTTTTTTATTATACCATGACCTTACATTACTGTTGTGTTTTATAGTCTTCCAAGTGCTTTAACACATACTATTTCTTGGACCTGCCAAGAAGCCTTAAGAGATAAGCAGGTTGTATATTATCTCCATTCTGTAGCATGCTTAAACTGAATATGCGTAACTTGCCCAAGGTTAAATGACCAGATCCAGGGATCTTGTCTTTTTTTTTTTTTTTTTTTTAATAAATTCTTGCTTTTCTTCTTCACCTTCATATCTTCCCCTTTGTTCTGGAAGAGCTGATCTGTTTTGCCGTCTCTTTCTTCACTTCTTAATTCTTGTGGTTTTGTGCTGCCTTGGGACGGGGCACTTGTAGTTTTTTCCCCTGAGGGATACAGTATTTGAATTTAATGACAGTTATAGCCTAATAATTTTGTATTTCCATCTTAGAGCTTTTTTTTGTTTCCTTAGAGGTGTATTTTGACCCTAGTGATGAAAATTAAGTGCAACTTTTGAGCATTTCCCCCTCTTCTGTCTGCCCTTCCCCTCCCCCAGTAAATAAGCACTTATTTTTTTCCTTAAGTGAACTGATGGAAGCAGGCTGCACTTTGTTCTGTTAAGGAGCCTAACACTGCTAGGAGCCCTTGGTGGCCCCTAGTTAGGTGTGTCTATCTGAGAGCCTAAGATGGCTGGGCTCAGGCGTGACCTCTTGCCTTTCACTCAGGGCAGAGTGGCCTTGTACTCTAGAATAACTGTCATCTGCTGAACAAAAGTGCAGCCAAGGGGTTGACTTCCACCTGCTTAGTGAAAAATCCTGTGATAATGACCACTTAGGCTATTCTGGTATATCAGCAACGATTAGTTGACAGAGAAACTCAAAATCGAATGATTTCCTAATTTGTAGGTTCACAGAATCTACCCCTGTGTTGGCCTGTGGCGTAAGTCCCGTTCTCTCAGCTGTGGCCTGAGCACCACTGCACCTGCACACCGGCCAGGCGTCTTTCCTCCCGCCTCAGCCACCCCCTTCCTCTGTACATTTGTATTACTAGTGATTATAGTGAGGTTTTCTGCACTTTCGTGGTTTTCCTTGGCATTTTATTCCCACTGTGAATTGATAGTGTTTTAAAAATACCCAAGCAAGACCATATCTCATCTTTTGTCATTTTCAGAAGTGTAACCACACTTTTTAATGCTCCTTTAGCTCTCAGATTCTGCCCTGGAAACTACTTTCTTTTCATTTGAAGGTTTTAACTTTCTACCAGCCTTGGCTCTCCCCGCCCCCCCACCCCGAATTATTCTTAGAAAACTCTGTATCTTAATCTGAAAAAAAAAAAAAATGAGTATGACTTAGTTGATTTAGTTTAGTGGAGTATTGATTTTTCAGGTAGTAATAGTCTGCACTACTAGATTGCTGCTCTTGTGATGAAGGAAATTCCTAGCTAGTCTTTAAATATCTTCAGCTTCAGTTAGCACTTCCAGGTATTAAATTGGCACTCTGTCTTAATTTCCTCATTTTTCCATTAGGGAACACTAGGGGATGTGTCCTCGAAAATTACGAAATCATGAGCAATTTTCCAGACATTCTAAATCTTCAATGATTTAATTTTCTGTCAAGCATAATCCTGAGTATTTACTCTTTACCCAACTCTGAGTGACCCACAGCACTCAGATGCCACAGAACTTCCCTGCTGCTTGTAGCCCTTGCTGTGTCTTGCTATCATTCATTTCCCTCCCAAATAAGAACTCCCTCCCCCTTTTAAAAATTCTTTCTTCTTTGGATTTTTAATGTTTTCCTGACTTTAATGTCTGATTTATTTTTTCCTTCTCTCTTTACCTGCTTTCTTTTTTTTTTTTTTTTAAGATTTTATTTATTTATTCATGAGAGAGAGAGAGAGATGCAGAGGGAGAAGCAGGCTCCCAAGGAGCAGGGAGCCCAATGCGGGAGTCGATCCCAGGACTCTGGGATCATGACCTGAGCCGAAGGCAGACGCTTAACCATCTGAGCCACCCAGGCGCCCTTTTTTTTTTTTTTTTTTTAAGATTTATTTATGTATTTGACAGAGAGAGACACAGCGAGAGAGGGAACACAAGCAGGGGGAGTGGGAGAGGGAGAAGCAGGCTTCCCGCCAGGCAGGGAGCCTGATGCGGGACTCGATCCCAGCACCCTGGGATCATGACCTGAGCCAAAGGCAGACGCCTAACGACTGAGCCACCCAGGTGCCGCTCTTTACCTGCTTTCTTTTCCTTTGTTATAGTCTATAAATCTGTGGTGATGCAAGAGGTATTAGAATGTTGGGGTTTGTTGAATGTGTCTCTTGGGAACAAAATAGTTGCCTTAATACCATCTGCACAGGCCTCCGGTGGCAGCCAGAAGTGCTCTGTGGGGACCCCATGCCATGTGTAACTCCCACTGTGAGCATGCTGACTAATTTGCTTTTGTCTTTCCTGATGTGGTTTTGAACTTCTTCTCTTGGTGCTCAGGCTGGCAAACTCAGTGCAGACTTCCCGATAGCCCCCTTGCTCACAACAACCCAGAAACACTTCAGTAAAAAAGGCTTTGGGGTTCTTAAAGTTTATCAGGTAAGGAAATTCAAGCTCTAGCAACTTCAGAGGTGAGCGCTCAGAGGACCCACATCTTCTCAGTATGAAAGCAAGGTTGCTTTTGCTTCTGCTACTTTAAACATGTCCAGTATAAAATTTCAGATCTTTATCCTTAATCCTGTTTTTCAAGTAGGTAAGCAGTTTCAGTTTCCAAGTCTCTTATTCATAGTCTTAATATTGATGATATAGTTAAATGATAGATGAATACTCATTACCACTCCATAAATATTCTGTCCTTCAGATAAAGAATTAGAGACACAGCTTGAATAACTTTTCCTAGGCTATATAGTGCCAGAGCCAGGATTCAGACTGTGGAGTGTGTGACTCCAAAGTCCTTGCTCTAGCCCTCTGCTTCCCAGAAGCATATGTGTCTGTCCTAAGAACTTCTGGGGACTTAGATCCAGACAAAAGATGAAAGAAGGGGATATGCTGGCTTTTGCAACCACTTCATTCATTCAGGCACTTCTCTTTCAGTCCTTGAACTGGCAGTGACTCTTAGTACAAAAAAGGAACAGCAGATTAGGGAAAGTAGGTGAAATGCTGGATATTTAGGGTTGAGGAAGAGGAAATATGTTCTGATTCTAGTACATTCAACTGTAGCAAAACGAACCCAGCTGGAGAAATAAGGCCTGCTTATCTAGTGTAGTGGAAGTTCTACTTAGATGATTTCAGGCCAATAGTTGCCAGACTTGATGAGGAAGTTATTTGGACAGGAGGTTTTTATAATGTTGCATTATTTCCTCTCTCACTTGCTAAACACAAGTCTCTGTTATTTGTTAGACATGGCTATCCCCCTTATATTTTACTGATACCCAAAACTTCCTGTATATCTACTCCAGGAACGGACATCAGAGAGAACACCCACCTTACTCTTTACATCTGCCTCCTCTAGTCATGGTTCTCCAGCCACTGCATCATTATGGTTCAGGAAGATGTGAGCCTTTTTAATAAGAGAAGGGCCCAGAGAGAGGAACCAGTCTTCCTATGTATACTACAGGTTCTCTTACACATTTTTCTCTCTTAAGGATTAGTTTCTTGTTTTTGAACTCTTGACTTCCTATAAATCACAGATTTACTCCGTCAGTTTATTCCTTGTCAGGGAATATTATGAATTCAGACCTGATAGGTAGTACTATAAAATTTGGGAGTTCTTTTCACTTTCTCACCATCCTTATGGTGATCAGCAAGGAGTCTTTTATCATAGTCTCTGTTGACTCTCTCTCTTGAATTCCTTGGGAACATGCTCAGTAGTTAAACTAATTTTTTTTTCAAACTTTTCTGGGGAGCATTTTCATCACTGTGGTGATTGAGGTCATTATTTGTATGAATAAAATAACTGTTTTTTCATTCAGCTTTTCTTTTAACTCTGACTCTTTTGTTGATGACATGATCTCATGAAAAATAGTATCTCTTGAAACTGTGTGAGAAATGATAACTCTTGTCCTAAGTACAGTGGCATTTTCCTTTTTAGGTTTATTCCTTCCAAAAACCTTTTGCGCTCGTAAGATCCACAAGTTAGTTACCCTCAGTAGGTGTGCATTGGCCAATATGTAGTGTTAGACCCTCTCCCTGTGTAAGTATGAGGTGCATTGTGGGAACTGTGAGAATCAGAACAGTTCTCCAAGTGATTTTCAGCAGTAACTTAGAAAGAACTCTGGCTAAAAAGTAAGATCTTGACCGGGAGCTAAGAATTTCATAAATGATAACCGTATTCTAGTTAGGATTTGACTGTGCGTCAAGATCCCAAGGTTTGTGCTCTTGTCCCATAAGTCAGAACTATTGGCAACAACCATCTGTTGCTCTCCCAGAGCTTTGTTGGTTCAGGCTTCAAGAGGAGCCTGTGGTGGGGAAGCAATCCTTTCTTTCCCCCCAGATTGAAGGGTCTTTTTTCTTTTCCCTGTGATCCTCTTTTGTCCACTAGGTGGCACTCTTTCGGTTGGATCTTTATCAGGAAGCTTACAAGTGAATCTTTAGTTTCTGCAACTTTAACCCCTTGAAACAAGATTTTGTTAGAGCTCAACATGCTCCACCTTACTCAGTGAGTCTCTTGACAGAAATATGTCCGTTCCATCAGTTCCTTACTCCTCTCAAGTGTATAGGATAAGGATGTGTGCTATTCAAGTGAATATTTGTTGGGATTGTTGTCTTTTAATTACTAATTTTCTTGGGTTCTGAGTAGGATCAGACTATTAGTGCAAAGTGTTTGGGAAGTTCCATTATATCAGATGGTACTTCCTTGTGATGTAAAAACTTAAATCCATGGCACCTGAATTTGCTCAGTCAGTTAAGTGTCCGATTCTTGATTTCAGCTCAGGTCATGATCTCAGGGTCGTGAGATCGTGCCCAGCGTGGGGCCTGCTTAAGATTCTCTCTTGGGGCACCTGGGTGGCTCGGTCATTAAGTGTCTGCCTTCGGCTCAGGTCATGATCCCAGGGTCCCAGGATCGAGCCCCGCATCAGGCTCCCTGCTCAGCGGGAGGCCTGCTTCTCCCTCTCCCACTCCCCCTGCTTGTGTTCCCTCTCTCACTGTGTCTCTCTCTCTCTGTCAAATAAAATCTTTTTTAAAAAAAAATTCTCTCTTTCCCTCTCCCTCTGCCCACCCCCCCAATCTCCTGCTTGCACGAGTGCACATGCACACTCTCTCTGTCTAAAAAAAAATAAAAGACCTAAATCTACTCCTATCACCTGGGGTTATGAGGAGCCCTGCGTATTTGGATTGTCCTCTCCCCATCATCAGGGGTATAAAAAATAACCTAACCTCCCCGCCCCCCCACATACCCATCAGTACTCCCAACCTTTCCATCACTATTTGCCTTGAATTCATTGGATCTAATATTAGCTTATTTATCTTGGTTTATATTACTTCCTATAGGGAGCCCCAGATTTCCAGGTCACCCTCATATCCCATACTTGAATCCCCATAAAGCTCTTTTTTTTTTTGCTTTTTTTTGCTTTTTTTCATAAAGCTCTTTTTATCTCCTATTCAGTCTCCCTCTCTGATCCTCCCTGAGTTGGTTCAGGCTTCAAGAGGAGCCTGTGGTAGGGAAGCAATCCCTTCTTTCCCCCCAGATTGGAGGGTCTTTTTTCTTTTCCCTGTGATCCTCTTCTTTGTGCCCTCTGGAATTCATGTTCCATTACTAGAAAAATCTCCTCTGACATCAACTTCACCTTGTTGATCTAAAAGAGACCTGGCTTTCCCTCAACACTGCTTTCCTTCTTGCCCTCGAGTGTGGTGGGTTTTTTTCTCCCATAAACCTCATCCCAATGGACTTGGACCCACAGATGGTGTAGATGTCCTCTTTGTTGTTTATTGCCACTTTCAGATCATTCCACCTTTCTCTTTGCTAAAACCCCATAATTTTGTATCAAATGACATCACCTAGTTCCTCTCTTAGTGCCAGTCATCTACTGACATCCCGAGCTATTCCTTATTCCTTAGCCAGGTTAGCTGTGGCTGCTCTTGGCGGTACTCCACGACCACTTCCACCTTAGTTCTTAGCAATTTCTACACAAAAGGGTCATAATCCTACCAATATGCTGGCTTCACAGTTCCTTGAATTGTTCTTTTCCAGTGATTTTGTCCTCTCCCTTACCTCACCCATTCAACTGCAGTCTTTCTCCAATCTTAACTTCATGCCACCCATGTTCTAGCTTTTTACGTCTCTCTCTTTAGGACCGACTGCCGCAGTCCTCCAGCCCCACTGAGACATCCAGTCCATTTGTCCTACCACCTTTCACTGTGTTTCTGCTCCTTGATGACTTCACTCTCCTCCTCAGCTAAAATTCCGTGGTTAGTCATGATAATAATCACTCTCTTTGGTGTTTTCCCCTTCCATTACTTCTCTCTGATTTCATCATAGTTGATGGGCAAAACGACAGTCTCTCTGCACCCTGCGCAGGTAGCTGTGCAAGTGAATGTGGCTGAGAAAAAACAACAAACACCTGGTCCTCCTGGATAGACTTTCTCCACTTGGCTTTCAGGGCAGCAGGTGCTGTTACTTATTCTCCTACCTCACTGGCCGTTCTTGCTTCTGGCTCCCATCTGCTCAGTTTGCATTGTGACATGCCCCTCGATCCTGCCAGGCAATCGGATATTAAACATTACGAGTCTGTTCAGCTTCCCATTCTCCTAAATTATTATTTCACGTTTTCTGTCTTCAAAGACCCAACTCCTCCTTCATCTTCATTCTCAGTTGAGCATGTCTTCCTCCTACTTCACTGAGAAAACTGAAGCCATTGGAAAAGGCACTTCTGTGAACTTCCACCATTACTGTACCCACTCTCTATCTTCCTCTCTCTTACCATGGTCCTGTTTAAGCCAGTTCCTGTACTTCATTTCAACAAATGCATAGAGTACATTAAAAATATAAAATTAAAAAATCTCCCTCTCCTTGCCTGGAGTGACCGTGGTTAACATACCTTTCACCTGCATGTGTTATTCTAGTAAAGGAATGAACGAAATCCTTTTCTTTTGTGGGGAAATGTGGAAAATTTTCATAGAACCATACTGGAAATTTAAGGGGCAGGGGAATAAAGATAAAATGACAAATATGAGAGTATACACATATTTTTAATGTAATCTTTGTGATCCCATGTGGTAGATATACATTTTGCATTTTGCTTAACATGATTTAGCACCTCTTGCTATCATAACATAGAGATGTACCCCATTATTTCTAATGGATAGTTATGTACTTTTTTTTTTAAGATTTATTTATTGTAGAGAGAGAAAGAGTGAGCACAGTATGGGGAGGGCAGAGGGAGATGGAGAGAGAGAATCTCAAGCAGACTCCCTGCTGAGTGCAGAGCCCCATGCGGGGCTTGATCCCAGGACCCTGAGATCATGACCTGAGCTGAAATCAAGAATCAGACGGTTAACCGACTGAGCCACCTAGGCACCCCTCTGATGGATAGTTGTATTTTTTCAAATGCAATGTAAATGTGTACAGTTGATCCCTTACTGAGAAGTTACCATTTTTATATTATAAGCAGTGCTGTAGGAAAAATCATATTTATCTCTGTATTCTTGCATTTCTGCATAGTGAATTCTTAAAAATAAAATTTTGGGACCCATATTGCTGGGTATAGGATTGTACCAATTTACCCTTACATCAAAAATAAGAAATTAACTGGGTGCCTGGGTGGCTCAGGCGGTTAAGCGTCTGCCTTTGGCTCAGGTTGTGATCTCCAGGTCCTGGGATCGGGACGGGCTCCCTGCTC